CAAACCTGTGCAGAAACTCCTAAATCCTGCTTGGTAACACCTGAGCTCAGAGATGCACAGTGAGTCTGCGCGAAAATGTACATTATGTATTGTGCACACTACGATGCACCACTATTGTATCTGAAGAAGGCCGTTGGTCTCCTGGATCGCTCCAGAAGAAACGACCCGCGGCGCTCGGACACCAAGGTTTGTTTGGCTTTCACTCCGTGTGTGTGAGGATTTTATGAGAACAGTGATTTGGAAGGAAGCATGAATGACTCTTGAGTGAGCGTAAGAGCGCGTGCGTGTGCATACGTGTGTGTGTGTGTGTGTGTGCGTGCGCGCGTGTGTGTCATCTCCAGCTGAGTAGCAGGATGCAGACAACCAGGAAGAGATAAGCGCGGGTGAATGGAGGGAGCTTTGCATGTGTGTGTATCAAGTGTGTCCGTGTGCGTGCATGTGTGTTTCGCGTAGGGAAATCACTTCACAAAGGCCTGGAAGTGTGTGTTCCCCTGTCTACCAGCGCGGGACTCGGAGGAGATAAGCAGACAGCCAAATATTCCCCTTGTGTTTTCCCAGCAAAAACAGGAGGCGGAATACCAACCACTCAGACCAATGCCACAGGGTCAGGCCTGGAATGAGTCCCGCTTCCAGTTCTTACAAGCTGCACACAGAAACACACAACCAACAAACTCCTTACGCGCTGACGACAAAGCAGCCTGTTGATAAATCAATAAATTCGTGACATCATGATTTATTTCAAAACAGTCCTATGTGTGCATTCAAGAAGATTTGCGTTCCGTTGTGTCAGCCGACGATGCAGATACACGCATTTATGTGCGTATGTGTCTCGGACTGATTTATCTGTGCGTGCATATCTGTTTATGCATTTAAATCTTCAAAGTTTGTTTTTGAGGATATATGTGCACATGTTAGATGCGAATACCCAAAAGAGTGCTACAGGTTTATTTCTTGGGCAGTTAAGGGCGACTGTTTTGGAAATTAGGTTGTAAAGATGCAGGGTAAGGATGAGATGAAGACACGAAAAGAGAATGGAATGTTCATTTACAGTATTTTGTATACAGTTAATTCATACGTATCCGGTGATATTTGTGAAGCTGTGCATCTACAAAGAAACTGTCAACATATTCATGGAAAAATTTTGTAAAAAATAAATAAAATAAAAACATAAATACTCATTGCCAGTTCCCAGAACCTCTTATATCAGATGCTGTAATCTTTTTTTTTTTTTTTGGCTTAAATTAAGTGCTTATCAAAACAGACAAAAAACAAATTTCCTGTTTCCAAGGTGGACAACTCAGTTATGGCAAAAATCACAATCAATATTAAGAACACAAATATTTATTTATACGTGATAACTAACTGACCCAACGTTGCAGAAATGCTGCATTTATTGAACTTTTTTTCACAGCAGATGATTTCCTTGCATTTTAAATAGAATTTAAATGAAAAAGTACAAACAAATGAGGCAACTCTGGTCAATTGAAAGTGATTTAGCATCTGGTTCTTCAACATAAACAGATGAGATAGGTGAGGCCACACCACAGCCCTGTCATGAACGGCTCGCTGCAATCGTCAGAACCGGCTATCTGAGACCAACCAAAGTTCTGCGGCTCGACGGTATCGTCCCATTTGGCAGGATTCTGACTGAGTGCCGTTCAGTCATAATCCCACACGTGGTAGCTTTGCAACGTTGGCTCCTCAGTCAAGCACATGCACCAAAAGTCTAAACCTGCAGTTCCTGAGCCAGATTACTACCAGAAACCCATCATCAGTATGGTACAACTAACCTGTCCCACAACGGTCTGAACCCAGCTCACATTTTTTATTAGTCAGTGAACAAACAAACCGGCACTTCAGTGAATGTCTGGGTTTTCAGGAAACGGGGTGTCAAAGAACACCAATGCAAAGGAGAGGGGTTCACTGTATTTATAACACAAGACAAATGAGAACATCATTGCAAAATGGAATACAGTGCAATCAACGTTTTATCTTGATTATCCTGTTTTCATCATCACTGGAAGCCAAAATCGATTCAATTAATCATCCGACCACATTTCCACCGTCAAGAATGAAATCTGAGCTTCAACTTTTGACTCATCGTGGATGAGAAGTCCAAGAAATGTTCAGAATCATGGAAGGTTCGAACATCTTCAGTGCCATGGCAATTCAACAAAACTAAATCCGCTGATGAGAACTGAGCATAAGCCGCAAAGCATCCACGGCACTGACCTTGGGTGGAGACGGTTTTATCGAATCATAAATTTTCTGTCAGTCCAATAATCAGGAGAAAACCACATCATCATAAGAGAATATGAAGTGGAAATGAATAAAGAAAGTTTTTGGTAAATCTTGGTCCAGGGATCTACTAGAGGACATAAACAGATGGATATTTGATTCAAAAAATGTTACAGTGATTTGAAAATGTGTTTGTTAAACACCTAATAAAAGCAAAAAAATAATAATCTTAAAAACAACAATACATGGAAAGTTAAACAATTAATTAAATGTAGGCACACGATGCTCATAAAACAGTCAATCAGAAAGCAAGTGTGTGTGTGTGTGTGTGTGTGTGTGTGTGGGTGCAATTGGCTGCAAGAAATCTCAGTGTGTGAATATAAAACATTCTTTATGTACGCTGATATTTCTAGCAAATAAAAACATTGCCTGTGTTTTCTTTCTCAGTTATTTTAACCTACAAGACTCGCTCAGTTACTCAAACATACGTAGACTGACCGTCTCCCTGTAACCTGCCGGGCTTCCATCCAAACACACACAAACACACACACAGGGTAAGTTCTTAGCATAGCTAAAAGCCACAGAGTCATGGGATTGCAGTATCAACATAAAATCACCCACACAGAGATCAGTGTAACATGCACATGAACAAACACACACCACGCAGACACACACACACACACACACACACACACACACACACTGGCCAGTGTCCAGGGTTGTCAGGTTTGTGTATTTGGTATGTGAGGAATGTGTGTCGGTCAGCTTGTGGACGCTCAGTGTTCTGGGTGGAGCTCTTATCAGTCCGACGTGTCATCACAGACAACATTAGGGCCACAAAGTACCATTAAAATACATGTGAACATACGCAAACACTCATAAACATAGAGACACAATGTCAGACGGATGCAGTTTAAGCAGGAAGCAAGACTGTAAAAGGTGATTATTGGTCTTGCAACATCTCTCTTGCAAATTTGCGCAAACAAAGGAGAAGAGAAGAGAAGAGAAGAGAAGAGAAGAGAAGAGAAGAGAAGAGAAGAGAAGAGAAGAGAAGAGAAGAGAAGAGAAGAGAGGTTCACATTCATCTACCTGCTCTCTTCAGGAATGATGCTGGTGGTGTTGGAGAATTACCATGCAGCAAAAATCCACACCGAGACATCGACACTCCAGACAAAGACCAGCGATCATAAATACAGTGTTCTTTATGTTAAAGACAGACAAACGCATTTCCCTGGATAGCACAAAAACATACCATGAACATTAAACTCTTCAGCACTGGAAGTTGGCATTGGTTTTAAGTCCTGTTTACTTATTCTTTCCAGCTGTTTCTCATCTTCATTGATGGTTGATTTAACATCTGCACACACACGTGCAAACACACACACACACACTATCAAATAGCATTTCCAAATGCACTGCAATATTTTTGCTCATCCTGCATTTCCTACATCTGGACATCACAATTCTTATTTTTCTACAAAGTTACAGTTGTTTTACAACAATGAACGCTGATTTATTGGGAAGCTTGCAGTTAGTTTTTGGTAGACTTTCCCACTTTGGGGAAAAGTGTCTCTGCATCATTACTGGAGCTCAAGCATCACATTAGTATCAGAGTTAAATCATAACCATCTCACAAAAATGATCATGCCATAGATGGACACCAGGGTTTTTGAACACAAAGAATTGTTTTCGTCCCCAAAGAGGTTTTAGACAGTATTTATCGACTGGTCATAAATACGAGGAACATGCATACATTTCTGTCAAGTAAGACAGCGCAGTCCTGCTGCCTATACTGTACCGATCATGCTCACTGTCGTGCAGAGTCACCCCCCTAATGTCCGTTCTGAGCCAAGAAAAACCCTGGACAGCAACAAATATTGTACGCACAGGTCATACAACATGTGCTTAAAGAAAGGAGGAAAGATTAATACAGTGACAGCCTAACGGTTTAAGTGAATCTCCAGGCTTCGTGATGAAAAACACAAGTTTATGGGTGGAACGCACAGACACCCCTATAAAAGACCCATTAAACACTGAGGAAGAAACCTACAGTTTCTTTTATGTGTAAAACCCACTTTAAAACGTGACAACTACTCACGGACACAACAGATATATGAATTTCTGATTTCATTGCAGATTTGCCTCTTTTATTATACACAGAAATGCCTCACATCATATTAGATCAAACGTGGTTACTGTTGTTCCACAGCAGCTCCAGTCTGTCATTAAATGTCCAACAAGAATTTTATGTCTGTGTCTGCATGTGTGTGTGTGTGTGTGTGTGTGTGTGTGTGTGTGTGTGTGTGTGTGTGTGTGTGTGTGTTTGTACGGCGGAGTCCAGCTGTTTCTCATCTCCATTGATGGTTGATTTAACATCTGCACACACGCGCAAAACCCACACACACACACTGGAACAGCCTCTCCATATGCGCATCGATATTTTGGTTACAGGTGATGGACGCGCTGGACGTGTGTGTGTGCGCGCAGTGAAAAGTGCACGGGCTTAGCGGGACCGTCACCGGGCTGCACGTGGCATCCATCTGCGGGATCACCGGACTTATCGGTTATGAAGGGTGGGGAATAAGGGGCATCTGGACCGGAGCGCACACACACAAACACATGCGCGCTGTCATCGTTCATACACACATACACGTGCCACCTCAGAGCCAGCGGAGGGAGGATCGCTGTGAGCAGACGCGCAAAAACACGTTTCATGTCACTTTGTGCGTAAAAACTAAAATCAGGTGTAAATCAGGACTCACCAGCTTTGCACGGGTCCTTGTAGTCAATGGTCTCCGCTCTCTCCTCTTCATAATATTCATAGTCGGGCTCCTCGTAGTCGAAACAGTTACAAATAGTCACTTTGCCCCAGAAAGTCAAGCCGGCAAACACCAGCGTGATCCAGCGCATCTTAGCGGCCAGTGCCGTTGGCACTCGGTCCATCTGAGGACTGAAACAAACGAATAAAGGCCTCTCTGCTCGTCTCCTCTGCTGTCAGGAGACGGTCAATCCACTCTCCGAAGAAAGCAACGGCGAGCAGGAATTTATCGGCTCATCGTGAACATCAGAGTCCTCTCTGACAGTCTGCGTGTGGATACTGACGGGCTGCTGCTGGAAGTTACTCTGCCCGGCTCTCCTCCATCGTGAAAGTACGCTGAGGTATCTGTGTGTCCGTCCCGGTGTGTCTCAGTCAGCAAAGTGTCCGCTGAGGAGCTGCGCTGTCCTCCGCTGTGGCTTCGCAGGTGAGGCTGCTGTGGGACAAACAGGAGAGAGAGAGAGAAGCGGTGAAGAGGGGGATCAGGACCGGGTGATCTCTGAGCGTAAAGACGCACGGCGATGCGTCTACTGCACACACAAGAAACATCCGCCTCGCATATTTCCAGCCAGCACGGTTGTCTCTCGCGTAGCGCAATCTCTCTCTCCTCTCTCTCTCTCACTTGTGTCCGGTGGTGGGACTGTCTCTCTCTCTCTCTCTCTCTCTCTCTCTCTCTCTCTCTCTCTCTCAGCCCGAGTCAGCGCACCGCCCTCACACACACACACAAACACACTCACTCACCGCCACATACCTGCACTGTTCCACCCAAGTGGTGCAGAACCAAAACTTTTGTCTCTATTCACTGAGCATTTGCAGCCCTTTTTATGTCCAATGAACCCCACCACACACACACCCACACACCCACACAAACAAGAGACACAAAAAAAAACCTCGCCAGCAGTCGAATAACCTCACAAATACACATCAGAGGCTTCTTTGTGATCTCAGAGCGGTGACAGCAGAGGAAGCGCACTCTGATCATTACAGGTTATTGAGCCTTTGCTCGCACAGATCTGTAAAAATCAAACTTCGAGTAGAAAAAAAACCGGTAGCGGTAAAAGTAACACGGCGGCCACAAATTAGCCTGTGGGTTTTAGTAGCTGTTAACTGGTTATTTATAGGCAGGTGCCAAGTAGGTAACAATCAAACCATAAAGGCTCAGAAGTACTAAAGACCGGGATACCTTTTTAGTCACGGCATGAGAAGTCGGTCTTTATACTGCCTCTTCTCTTCTCTCCTCTTTTATCATCATAGAAAGACAGAATTTTTTTAAAAACCAGTATGAACCGCTAATTTGAAGCATTTACGCGTCTATAGACTTTTTGCGTAAAAAGAGGCGCACCTCAGGCCTCGGCACCCCGCAGATCGAGACTGGATTACAATGTCGTAGCTATAGTGTAAAGTGGTGCGCAAATCAGACCCAAATACAATGTTTACTTCACCATCATTATTGTTTAATCATCCCTAAGTATGGCACAAATGATCCCAACCCAAGCGGCTGGGGAATTTCAAATTTCATCGCCAAAAATCGTTCGATTTTGTGTTATATTCGTAATTATCTATTTAGCTCATGTTTTATTTCTGTTGATTTAACCGTTTGAGCTGATCTGTCTCCTTTGTGCGATAGATAGATAGATAGATAGATAGATAGATAGATAGATAGATAGATAGATAGATAGATAGATAGATAGATAGATAGATGTAGACAGCAGTCTGCCATTCACCTATGATGTCTCCTCTAATCTGTCACAACCTTGCCAGCAGTAGGTCGGTCAATAACAGATGAGTGAACCGAGTTCACGTGGGTTCATGATCCTCCGCTGCATCCCTGACACCCACAGGTCCAGTGGAGCTGCCTCCACTCCGCGTGTCTGTGTGAGCGCACGAAGCCGCCGCACAGAAGGCTTAAAAGTGAAGAAAATAGCATTTACGGCCCGTTTAACTTCTTCTTTTCCTAATTTTGCACGGACTGTAAAGTTGTCAACAACCATCCATAATCTCCCAAGTGAAGCCTACACACACACACACACACACACACACACACACAAACACACACGCGCATGCACACGGCAGACACAAGCAGTAAAAATAAAACAGCAGCAGTTGTTGACAGACAAGCAGTGCAGCCTGTGAACACCTTGCCAAGGTAAATCCTCCTGAGACGAGTTCACCCTGCGTCTCCGCAGCTTACCTGCTGCGTTTACCTGCCCGGAGCGCATCGGCTTGCTGCGGCGTCACGAAGCTGCCCATCATGCTCCAAATGCAGGGTCCCTCTCGTGGGGTCTCAGAGGAGGAGGAGGGGCAGGGGGGGAGGTGGGGCCCCAATCCGGTATTACTCGGTACCGGCAGTTCCGAACGTGCCCGTCTCCCCCATTTATTACCGGGAGATTACCGGAGCGCTGTCTCTGCTGCTCCCGACTAATCCTGCCCTCGGGGAGAGGTAGCGGCGCGCTGACGTCACGCTATCAATCCAGCCGCAAGCTGTCCACTATACACGCCCCAAGGCATGGACACAAATCCCCTGGAGGCAACACACACACACACACACACACACACACACGGAGTTAATTTAGTGCAGATCAACACACTCCTGATTTTTGTCCAGGAATAGTTGACAACCTGAGAGTTCCTGTAACAAGACAAAGGAGCAACTGGAAAACAAGCAGCAAGCAAAGTGAGCAGCTTTAATCTGCGTCCTCCTGCAGAGATCTTGGTTCCAATGTGAAACAGGTCACAAAATGTTAACGTGAAGACCTGTGGTCTTAAAAGCTCTGGGGTTGAGTGAGGTTTTGGAGGACCAAGAAAAGTAACTTGGGAACACAAGACCTTATGTGACTGTAAAAACAAACAAACAAACAAACAAACAAACAAAAAAAACATCACCAACAGAGTGTGCTGAAGCACTACTGCTTAGCTCAGCAAAAATGGACAAAGAAATACTGTGAAAGCAAGCAGTAAGGTTTAATGTGGGTTTGTTGTCTGAGGGGCACTGTTACATTATGAGAACCAAAGCCAAATATTTTAATTGTATTGTAAAATCCCAACTAAGGACCATGGTTGAAAATGAGCACTACTTATAAAGTTTCTGTGCAGCACATCAGTTTTGTGCTCTGTGTTGGAGCTATGGTGAACTGCATCATTTTTGTCAAATAAAAATACATTGAAATTCAAATAGTAGTGGTAACATAAAACTGGGATAAGGTGAAACTCAACTTCCATGGCTATGTCCTGTTCTCAGGATCAACAGTGACACTTCTAAGCTGCTGATGTTAAGCAGGTATAATGTTTACTACAGCCATTGTGTTTTTTTTTTGCACGTTAGTATCTTACCTGCTGTTTAATAGCATAAAAAACACACATTACAGTTGAGTTGAAGGTGGGGATAGAGGTATAGTCTGATGATCAGTGAGGTCCCATCCAGTGGACATCAATGTTCCTGGAAAGCCAGAAAATATTGACGTAAGCAACTAACATGCCGAAGACAGGAACAACATTAGCCAGTTTACTGAAAAGACTCGTTCTGTGATTGAGTTCACTCGTAAACCACACTTCAGTTTGAAGGTCATCCAGTGATTTCTTTTTGAAGCGTGTTGAGTGACCATGTATGGAAGCCCAGATGCTCTGGAGAGAGATTAAGAAAGTCGTTTTCTAGAGTTATGTTCCTGACATAACCCCTACAGTTGTATTCATTACACAACTGTTACTTTTTTTATCACAGAAATAAAAGTTATTGCTTGTTTTATTGGCTCAGTTTTCACTTATGATCCGCCTTTTCATTATCTGAAAGCAGACATTTCATTCTGTGGGTTTTGAGTTACATTAATGTCCTCTTGGAACGCATGTTCGCATTACTACTGCTTTGGCAGCAACTTTGATTTATGTATCTTTAATGTTTGTGACTAGATAATATTACACTCTGGGAATTAATAAAAGTTATATGCAATTAAACAAACCATGCTCGGGGCATTGTGTTTAAAAAGAACCTCCATACACCACTGTGTGTGTTTCTGTGTGTACTTGTGGTCTGGATTTCCCTCCTGAGCAGTTGCTAATTAACTCTGGGGGAAGGCATTGAGTGGCGTTTGGGCCTTTCCAACCACTTAAGGTGCTTCTGTGTGGTTACCATCCAGCCAATCTATTCAGCAAAATGCTTCCTTCTTAAATAGGATCCAGCTATTGAAATTAATGCTGTGTGCAGGTATTTCTGTCCCTATTTAAAGCGTTTATTGATTAGTGCATCTCTGAAACTCTGCGAAAGTACCTCGCCAGCATTCTGACCGAGCACACTGACCACCACCCCTCCCTGAAACTACACACTCTCCAAACGCACATACACTAACGTCGAGAGGAACCCTCAAACTGAGCAGCAGTCCCCCCCCCCGAGACTTCCCCAAGTGCTGTGGTCTGCAGGTATCGGAGCACTATTATTAGCTTTGTTTCCCTAAAAAAAAAACAAAAAAAAAAACACTTTCCCATCAATTCTATATGCAGCAGTCTCCACAAGGTTTGTACTGTTCTTCAACTTTAAAGGGATGCATTTCCCAAAATCGAAACGTGGTTATAAAAGTTTGCATCTTTCTGACTAATGGCTGCAGCAGCTACCTTAAATTCAGTCAGTTGCAGTGGAGTTCAAGAGTGGCAGATTTTCAGTCTATGGAAACAAATTGCACACACGGCAAAATTCCCTCTTTTGCTGTTTATGAACTGTCATATCTTCATTGTATTTGCATTTAAATACATTTCTATTAAATTTTTGACGTCCAAAATATTCATCATTTTGCCAAAACATACCAGAACTGTTGACTTAAAGATACAGACTGGATGCAGCCACCATGACATGACTCACTTATGATGTTTATGGACCATCATTATGTTGTTTGCAATTTGGTCATCGTCATCTTGATCTTAAAAACTGAAAAGGTATTACACATGCTCATACAGCCAATCACAGGTTTGGCCCGCCCTATAGCATACCGCGATTGGTTGTCTATTTTATACTACATGGGACCAAAATTTACAAAATAAACACCAAGCTGTACTAGAGATGACTTGAAACTAGTAACTGAGACCACAAAGTCTTTAGGAAAATGCTTTCTGAGCTAATAAAGCAAATGAGAAGCCGGGTCGTTTTCTGATCGACTTCTACACAATCAAGCAAGAGAAGTCGCCCTCTGCTGGCTGTTTGAAAGAATGCAGGTAGAAAGCACTTCAGTATTGTCTTCACTTTTCAGATCTGGAGGCTATGTCTATCTTTCATGTGCAATTTGTGTTTGAGACTTGACTCAACTTAGATCTCAAGTTTGGCTAATCATTGTTTTTGTTTTGTTTTTTACAAATACAAAACACAATGCACAAGTAAAGTAAAAGGTGTACATAGTGAAGCGTTTGGCAGCTAAAAGGGCAGATGTTTGTCTCAGGAGACAAAGACCACACAGCTACAAGGAGAATTTTATAGGCTGATATTAGGCTCAGGTTGCAGTTTTACAATTTCTCTGCAAAGCATGACTTCTTCTTTTTGCTTGTTTTTTTTGCAAAAAAAACAAACAAAGGACGTTAATTTTAAACTGGAAACTTTCCACAACATGAAAATCTTGTTCTTTTA